TGAGTAATAAAATGTCTGTTGGAAACCAATCACTCGCTGTCCTTCTAATGTCCCGTTGAAAGCTACATTAATTTTGCGTGTATTTATATTCTTCCAAAAGGATTTGGCGACCCCCATATATAATCTCAAGACCTCATATGGGGTCAGATCTTTCCACTGATTTTTGATTGGGTTAAGTGTCGGACTTTGACTGGGTCATTTCAACTCATGAACATATTTTCATTTCAAGCTGTTCCATTTCAGCTTTGGCTTTATGTCTGGGGTCGTTGTCCTCCTAGAAGGTGTCCTATTGGAAGGTGGCCCCAGTCTCAAGTCTTTAGCAGACGCCAAACCGGGTTTTCTTCCAGATAACAGTGCATTTGGCTCCATCCATCTTCTCATAAGCCCTGACCATCTTCCCTGTCTCTGCTGAAGAGAAGTATCCCCAGAGTATTATTCTGGCACCACCTTATTTCACAGTGGGCATGCTGTGTTCAGAGTGATGTGCAGTGTTAGTTCACCACTACATGTTGTGTTTTATATTTTGGCCAAAAAGTTTAATTTTGATCTTATCTAATCAAAGCACTCTCTTCCATATGTTTGCTGCGTCACAACATGGCTTCTAGCAAACTGCAGAAAGGACTTTCTCATGGTTTCCTTTCAGCAATTATGTCCTGCAATTCTTCCATTAAGACATCCTTTGTGCAGCCCATGCCTAATAGTTGGAATTTTTCAAATTTCTAGATATAACTGCTTCAGTCCCTTCCCTACATGACTCAGTTACATTTGACAAAGCTGTTATTGTATCTGTGTGAGTCGTTCCAGGTTGTAATAAACTACAAACTATATTCTTTTTGGCTATAAATGCATACTATGACAGTATATCAAAGGCAGCAAGGTCTGGGTAAGCCTGGGTATTCTGGCTTTTTCCCACAGTCTAAAAATATATTAGATAGATTGGCTACATTAAATTTCCAGTGTGAATGAGTGTGTCTTTGCATAGTTGTTTAAACTTTATATTGAACAACATGTAAATTTATGTGTTACCTTTCAATTGATGTACAGTAAAATAAAAACTAAAGCTCATGTACGTTTATGTTTTGTCCTAGATCACAAATTATTTTGCCAAATTGACTGTTGGAGAAATTGAAAGGTTACCACCAAATCCTAGACAAATAAGAGGACAAATGATGGAAAATTAATGCGGAATTAAAACTGAAAATGTGGAGTTTTGTTTGTGCTATGTTGGATATTAAAACTTCACAATAATATTCCTCAAAGAGAAGCCAATCTCGCAAAGCATTATCCAGATGCTACAATCCCAAAATTGTATATTATATTTTCTCATTAGCTAAATGTGTCATTACATTTCTAGTTTTTTACATATTATCAAAGGACAACACATTCAAAAATGTCAGGACATTCCAGCAACCCTCTGTTCATAACCTCTTCTGAAATAGGATGACCTTATTTTGTTCTAAATGTTCCTCCCAAACTGACTCTAATGTGTTCCCGAGTGTGTTAATTAAATTTGCTTTTGGAGTACTGTATGCAACAAACTGGTAATCACTATGTGTCTGAATATGGAGGAACCAATTGAAGATGCTGTAGAAACATCAAATGAAGATCCTACATTTTTTAAAGATAAAATCTTTCTAACTTTTTAAACAATGCCTCATATTTACAAGGTCTTTAAACGGCAGCATACAAGTGTTAGTGTATCAACATGTTCTGCAGTGTGGCTTGTTCTCTTTCGTGAGGCTTGTTCTATTTAATTCATGTCCAAATCTACCCTCCATTGCTCCAGTTAGACCATTAAGTTAGAGAACTATTCAGTTATGTAGCTTTACTTTACTCTAAACCATTTATCCCCTGTAACACATGAAACACGTTAAACAAGTTTGAACAGGTTAAACAAGTTAAACATCAACAGTTACATTACATCTGACTGAATTATAACTCTTTAACTCCAACTCATTGTTGACCTGCACTATCTCTATTGGAAGGCAGCCTCTCTAGTGATGAGAAGCTTAATCACACACTTAGCTGACGGCTATGTCGAAGATAGAAGAAGTTATTACAGCTTTCTTAACCTTTGATACTTTGGGTTCAGCATTGTTGCTTGCAGCCACGGCAGATCACATGATAGGTGGCTTATTGCTCAGTGGGGAACTGATGCTATACTGACTTCTGCAGCTACTGTACTTAATAAACTGCATGTGATATAAACTGTCATGGAAATTATTATTAGGAGATGCTGCATCATTTACACTGTTTTTAGATGACACTTTTAACAATGAAAATGACTTTTTTTTTTCAACATTAGTGTCATTGATTATTGAATAATTGTTGCAACCCTTTTTAAAACCCACCAAAACTTTTTAGCATTTCCCACCCCTCACATGGCAAGGAGCTACTGCAGTACATATTTGCCCATGCCCTCGCTGCTGCTTACTAACAGGCAGTGTTTTTTAATCCTGCCCTAAGGATACACTGCTCTACATGTTTAAGATGTTTCCTGGACTCAGCAAACCTGATTTTAACTAACTGCTGACTAACAGGCTTTCGCTGAACTGCAATCAATGGAATGAGGTATATCAAAGCAGTGAAACATGAAAAAAAAAAATATGTAGGGCAGTGTGCCTTGAGGGCCATGGTTTAAAAACGTGATTTGTTCAAACAAATAGTTTCAAGTGCATCTAAGCTGCACACTAGCACGGGGAATTCAAATTTAATAGGCAATTGTTTTCTGGTACAAAGTAAATTTACCATGGACCTTAAACCTTTTATTTCTCTCTAAAATCGATAATCGATTAAAGGTTCCATATTATGCCACATTTGAAAATATATAGATATTAACAATGTAGCCCACATAACATTTCTTGTCATTTTTACAGGAACATTTCTCCAAGATTAGGCAGACAGCATGAACCGAAAATACCCTTATTCAGCCCTCCGCTGGATGAGGTTTTTTGGCTTTCCACGCCTTTACCTGCCAAACGAACGCCCCAATAACCCGCAAACATGGAAACCAGTCAGAGTTCATAATATTAACATCTAGTAGCAATGAATAACATATTAGATAAAGGCCGTAGCTTGACTGATTTTAGCACACATTAGTTAAGAGGGGAAGAGAGGCATTTTCATTTTTCATTTTGTGAACATCATACGTACCGTTGAGGACACATATGATTATTAGAAAAAGTATTTAATCTAAATTCTGCATTATATGGGACTTTTGAAGAGAGGAGGTGGAAAAAAATGTGCAAAGGGTTATCTAGTGCTCCCGGATGCGAGAATAGAATTGGTTTGTAAAAGCACTTAAAGGTTTTAACAGTAAAAAAAAAAAAGATTTTTCGCCAGACTTCTAAAAACATACTATAGTACAACCTTTGTAAGACTTGTTACCTTTTTGCATATTCTTAAAATAAAAAGTTTATTAAACCTTATGATTTTTAATTTCCTGGGTTGTGATCTTTGGTTAACAAAAACTCAAGAACCTTGTGTTTTTCCTTAACGCTCTACTTCTCTTTGTACAGCAGGCTCAGCTGCAGGCCCTCCAGCCCATTTGCAAGGTTAAGTATGTTACCCTTTAGTTGTTTCTATATGTGAAATGAATGCTGAATTTATCATTAGGTTAGCTGAGCTCCCTCTGATGTTCCCAATATAGTCCTTCCTGGCAAAGGCATTCTTTGGTCTCATAATTACAATGCTGACTTTAAAATTACACATTTTACTAGTTTAATCAGTCTTGATATACTTGACGACAAATACACAATGAAAGCACAGTATGAACCACATAAGGGCGGTTGGTTTCTAGGAACACAGCTCACTTACGTTTCAGGTTGGCCTGTGATGGTAGGTAACATGGTAAGGCAATAAATATGAGCTACTTTTGCGCTGTCAGCTTTGTCCCATTGGTTTGTAAGATACTCAGTTTTCAAGCACCAACTTTTGAATAGATGAAAACAAAATGAGGAATTCTATGTGATAATAAAGGTACAATAATGAAAATTGAAATAGTTTCTAGTTGACTTGGATCTAAGACCTTGGTAGAGTTGTTAACGTGTCCTTCATATCATGGAAAATGATGAGCCCAATTTTAGTGTATTAAGGTATCCAATACTGCATGAGTATCCAGTACAATGGAATTTAGCAAGCGCATTCCTCTCATGACCATAAACAATAAAGTCAGCAAAGACATCTGCATGTTCCCAGCAAATTACTAAATACGTTATAGCAGTAGCTCTTAGGGCCTTTTCACTCATCAAATTCTTTATTGCCCTGCTCATTAGGGAGAAAGGGAAATAACTGAATGTGGGTTATCTTCCCTTTTGCATGAGTGCAAAGGGGAAATAACTGAATCTAGGTTAAGTTCCATATCAAATGACTCAGCTTTTCTCATAAGTCTTAATCTATTTTTGTTAGAAATAAAATCAATAATTTACAACATTTTAAGATTTTTTTTTTTTAAACTTAGACAATGCATTACTTTAAATGTTTCACATCAATGTCCCACAAAAATTTGAATAATTAAAGCATTCTTTTATAATGTGCGGTAGATACAAAAATAAATGTTTGAGCTTGAATTGGGCTCTGATCCCCTCTACTGGGTTAATCCAGTAAGAGGAATCAGAGCCACCTTTTGTTTTCCCGAAATTCTTTGTTACATTTACAGTACAGTAATCTCAGTGCTCCCCATCATCAGTTAGAACTGAGGAAGCCTCTTCGATAAGAGGCGAAATGTCTTGTTTCACCTCTTAATGTGTTGCCTAAACTGAACTTTTTAAGCTTGACCATAGCAGAGAAGATTCTCTGGATGACAGAGAATCTTCTCAGATATCTTTTATAAAATCTGGTCATATTTTGTTAGCTAAATAATATGTAATTTAAATCTAAATATACAGTTGTGTAAAGTGGTACTATATAGTGAGTAAAATCTAAAGTGTATACTTATATTTGGTATACATCCATCACTTCAATACCATCACTAATTTGAAAAATAGTAAATACATACTTACAACTCTCTATCTCAAGTGTGCAGTTTTGCTCATCCAGAGGATACCTCCGTAGGTCCATCATACAAGCAGCTGTAGTAGTAATCCTGAAAAATATAAAACATAAGAGAAGGAATCAACTTTTTGCAAGGATTTTATTTTAGGAGGATTAAAAAGGGTACAGCACTATAAAGTAACTGTATCAATCATTAATCTCTTCAGGTAAACTACACAAAACTGCAAGAGCATCTGAGTAGCTTTGTGGAGCCAATGAAAAACATCTCTGTTTTTACAATTAGATGTATAGTAGTTTCACACGATATATTGCAAGTAATGAAATTCAAAATGTAAGGCTTGAAACAAAATGTATAAGATCTTGTTTATATTCCAATTTATGGCTATCTGGTTTGAATGCTGACAAAGAACTTAGTTCATTCTCATTTAACAAAGAGTAATGTATTTTGAAAAAGGCTTCTGATTAACATGTAGAATCTATATGAATGAAAACATAAAAAAAAGTAAAGCTAGAACTTTTGAGCTGCTGCACCAATGGTGATGGTGGAGAGTAAACTAGGAATAATAGATTCACAGCTGATCTCTGTCCCAGTTTCACAGGATAATCCTCTGTTTGCCCCAGCTTAGATCAAAGTGAGATCAGGAATCAAACTCTGTGGTATTGCTGTAAACCAGAAATATCAGTGATTGTATTTTTGTCTCTTGCAACCCTCTCTTCATATTTTAAAACATAATGGCTTAACACCTTATACATACTGTACCTACCTTTGAAGTGTAATTTAAAGTTCTACTATATTTTCTACTTATACTGAGACATTTTTGTAACTGTTTATTACTTTTTTGCTTTAGTGTTTTTTATTATTATTATTATACCTATTTTATTTATGCCAGCAACAAAATTTTACTAGTTCCAATGAAAGCTATTGATTATGTATTAAAGTAAATCAGTGATTTTTCTATAGTTATAGTTATAGTTAAAAACACAAATTTGTTGACAATGTTACAGCTGTAATTTACAGATATAGTGTAACTAATTATATTCATGACTGATCTCAGCAGTAATCCTGAAATTACTTTTGATTTGTCTGAAAGCGATAGTATCAAGGTTTTACTTTATTGTATCTCTTATACTATATCCGTTGGTTGTGCTGTTCTTTTTACATCTCTTTGCAGGTGATGAAGCAGACTGAAGCTGATTTATTGTTATCTCCCCTTTATCTCTTCTTTTTTTAATATTTTCCTTTTTCCTGTTTTTCCTTTCCTGTTCTACTTACATTGAAGTGTCCATAAAATCTTTAATATTCCCTGCATTATTATAATAAAGCTATCCATATGCATAAATCACGATGGTGATAGCATACTGCTCCACTTGTGAAAACAAAATCTGTTGGGCTCGCTTTTTGGCATCAAGATAATTATTGTTATTGACACATTGCCAGACAGGACCTGTGTTAAAAAAAAAAAAAAATAATAAAATAAATAAATATATATATATATATATATATATATATATATTTATATATACCATTGTCACCCTAGAGGAGATTACACCTCGGAAACTTCCCTTCTGTTCTTTTCCTGTGAGCAAGCTACTTAATTTAATTTGTTATTAACTCAAAACTTGGTAAAACTATATAAAAATGACTAAAAACATGAGTAAAAATTAAAAGAGTTTATTCCAGTTCAGATTGTTACAGGACAAAGAAATTTTGGAGTCCCCACAGTTGTGGGCTCAAGTCGTCAGCACGTGATGGCATCCGGAATATGAGTCCCGAACAAGGTCATCTCCTGCTTCTTATACCTCATAAGTCTATGTGTTGCATCAGGTGGATGCTTAGCTGTTCGTGTCAGAAACTGACACGCCATCCATGCCCTGACCTTTGTGCCTCTTGCCTCTACGCCTCAGGATTACAGATAGCTCTCCTTTATCAGTCTGGCTCTAGGATGTATCATTATCCAGCGTTTGTTGTACAGACAAAAATACTGTCTTCATTAGATGGCCTCTGCGCACATAATGTGATACACCATGTGAAGGAAGGATCCCCACCTTCTAATCTGGCTAACAGATAAGTAATACACACCAATAAAGAATAATCCTAACACAATGGAACACAGTAACGACCATCATAAAGTGGAGAAAATATGGCACAAAACTGATTTTACAGACAGGACCACTGTCCAAAACTGACAATAAGATGAGAGGTAAACCAGTAACGGAGGTTGCCAAGAGGTCGACAGCCACAGTGAAGGAGCTGCAGGGATTTATGGCAAGTACTGGCTGTACAACATGTGAGAACAGTCTACTGTCATCTTCATAGGCCTAGGCTATGGGGTAGGATGGCAAGTTGGAAGCTTTATCTTGCAAAGAAAAACATGAAAGCCCAGCTTAATTCTGCAAAAAGACACCTGACAGCTCCCAAACACATGGGGAAATGTGTTATGGTCTGATAAAACTCTGGTTGAATCTTTTGGACATTACAAAAGTTATGTTTAGGAAAAATACAGCACTGCTTATCACCAAAAGAACATACTCACACCATACCGACAGTGAAGCATGGTGGTAGCAGTATAATGTTTTGGGTCTGTTACATCAGCTGGAAGTGGGGCCTTAGTCAGAGAAAGAACAGTTCCAAATACTAGTCAGTGTTAGCACAAAACCTTGTCCTTCTGTTAGAAAGCTGAAGATGAAAAATAACTTCATCCTTTAGCACAACACACCGGAATAAAATTGAGGCTTTTGAACAGCACAGCAAGTGACCTGAATTCCGTCAAACATCTGAGGGGTGATTTGAAGAAGGCAGTGTACAGAAGATGCCCTTACAATCTGTCTGATTTGGAGTGTTTTTCCATCGGGAGGTGGGCAAACAGGCCACTTTAAGATGTGCCACACTGATAGGTTCCTACCCAAAAACACAGAGTGCTGTAGTAAGAGAAAAAGATGCTGCCTGCAACTGAGTATTTTATTTAAAGGTGTGCACATTTATGTGACCATGTTATTTAAGTTTCTATTTGATATCTTCTATTTTAAAGGTGTCAGTTTGTATTTTGATTGCACAGGTTTTAGGTCACATTAAAGATGGAAAATGTTCTGAAGTTATTTTTTTATGCCATTGTTATTTGTACATATTTTTTACACTGCAATGACCTGGCATTTGAACAGCTTTTGTAATTTCTTAATACACACTGTTTACATTTGGTTGCTTGAAGCAAGAAAATATACAAATATCTACAAAAAGAATCACATATTGCCCAAGTATATACATAATGTAAAATTCTAAACTGAAAATAATTATAGTTATGTAACCGTTTGACACAACGCTTGACATGAGTAATATAACAGGCAAAAATACCAAATACTGAACTCAATCAAATTATGAAAACTGAATCTATAAATTGTCTTTTTTAAACTTTTTTATTGTTGATGAGACATATTATATAGTATTCAACAGAAACTAAGCAAGTCTATTAGAAGGGAAACATTACAAAAATAATAAAACTATTGAAGAATATTTCTAAGGATTACTATTTGATTATCAATATTCTGTGGTATACTGGTATACTGTGCCTAGGAAATACTGTAAAAGTGCAATGGAAAGACCTCACATGTTAACCTGCTGTTTCATATTGTAAACTTTTTTACCCTTCAAATAGCATGTTAGAGGAAAACTGTGCAAGTCTGAGTATTCAGATTAATTCTCCTTTTCTTTTGTTCCCTGTTTATGTCAGAATTTATTTCTGTACAATCGATTTGTTGGAAAGAAGCTGACAAATTGGCTTCAACGTGTTTGGCTGAGAAGTAATTTGCTTGTTATGTACAAAGAACTCTTAGATCTCTGTCTCAAAATGAAGCCAGTGGTGTAGAACTCAGTTCAATAGCCTCAGGTAGAGTTCCATAAAAAGTAAACACATGTTTAAATGGAGTATTGTTTCTTTCTGTGAATCTGAGGATCACTGGATGTCAATTTGCTCACTATATACGGAGCTGACTTTACCTCTATTTCAAGTTTGCTCATTTTGTTAAATGGCACAAAGCAGCATTTGTTACTCGTTACGGCTTTTTAATGCATGGCAGCAGTTCAGAAAATTAAGCTAACCATGTCAACATACCCATAATCCAAGTGACAGGTGTGGTTCCCAGAAAACAAGGAAAAATCTAGTTTCTAAGCAAATAAAACCTTTGATATAACAAGAGAATCATTGACTAAAATACATGAAGTTCACAAAATAGTACATGTATTAGGCTTAAAGGAGCAATAAGAAATTAGATAATGAAAGGAGGGGGCTGCACGGTGGAACAGTGGGTAGCACTGTTGCCTTGCAGGAAGAAGGTTCTGGGTTTGATTTTAGGCGCAGGATTTTTCTGCTTGGAGTTTGCATATTCTCTGTTAGGTTAATTGGCTTCTCTAAAAATTGTTCTTAGGTATCAGTGTATGCATGGTTGTGTACCCATATGGGGTTACTTAAGTGTTACAGCATTTATGAAAACAATTTGAGGTTTAAATAGACCGGGACATTCAGTAAATCACAATTTAATACCTTAACTTGGTTTCATAAAATAGGCCTTTGTCTATCATTCTCTAATAATTGATAAAAAAATAAATAAACTCAATATCAACCTAGAAAGCCCTGTAAAAGCGTCACAATACATTTATCAGTCTCTTTAACATAATTATCAATTGTATAAGTTTAAAATAAATCTAAAAATAGATGGTTTCATGCCTAAAACTCATTTTGCATGCTTATTTTTTAGCTTGTTTTAGCTAAAACAGCCACTGGATAAAATTTTGAATAGAATTGTATACATGTTTTCTTTTAAAACAGTTATGTAGTAATGTTTCTTTGATCTAATCACAGCAGCAAATCATAATGACTTGTTCACAGACTTGGCAGAGTTTTTACGCCACAATCCCTTCTTGAGGCTTATTAATCTATAACAAATGTTCACGGTTTAATAATCACAATTTTTTTTTAAACAAATTTGTGAAAAAAATAAATGTAGAACCATGCTACACATCCATATTAAAGAAAAAATAATTAAAATAAGAAAAAATTATGTCAATACCTTAACTCTCAAAGTGAAAAACTATGTAAG